TAACAATTATACAAATTTCTCATTAGATAATGCCTGAGTTCACAACTTTAATTGACTTACCACCATAGGACATGAAGCGTGTCGCGAAGCCATGTAATAATCATAAGAACTCACGATTATATATAAATTTGAATAATATCGACATGTTCAACTGTCAGTATACATTGACATGTCGCTCGAAATTGAGTTGTTCTCGATGTAAGAGGTCAACATACGAAAATATAATAAGGCAAGCTTATAAACTTCAAGATGAAATCGCATGTACATTATTCCATTCGCCAATCAAAATCGCAAAAATTTTTTAAAAACAAAAACTTTTTTATGTAAAAAATTGGAATCGTAAAAATTAATTACTGATCAGAGCGGTACCATATTAATAAATATATAACAGCTATATAAACAATTATTTCTTAAAACTAATACATTTTCGTCAAATGAATAAATTTTGAATAACTTAAATTAACATAAAACTTTTTCGTCAACAATTAAAACATGAATAAATTAAATTAACACATCCACAATTAAATTAGGAGAAACTTTCTAACATTGCTGCATAAGTGTAATGCAATCCTTCCGTATCTGAACGTAAATTAAGGCCATTATTTTGCATTTGTATAAATTACACTTACACAACAACGAATTAAAACATGGACATGAAGGGATTGATGTTTTAAATTTGTTTTGCTGAAGATGGCTCCAAAGTGAACTGAAACATACCTATTTTTTGGAATAAAGTTCTATTTTTTGGATTGAGGATTTAAGATTGCGTACTAATTATTACGCTGACTCTCATTCGCCCTGTTTTTTTTTTTGGAGTTTTTTGTTGTTGAATTTGAGAGAGTCCGTAAGAAGATTACATTATTATTGTTTAAAAATTAATTTCTATAATTATTTATTACTTGTTTTTATTTTTTTATTATTTGGAACAAAGATATCTTCTGCCCATTTTCAAATAAAATGGGCAATTATAGAATGTTTTATATACTATTTATCTATGCAAACTTCAATAGTTTATATGTCGAAATACATTTTCAAAATTTTGAAATAATTTAATCAATCGTATTACTCAGTATAAACAAAATCACACACACACACACACACACACACACACACACACACACACACACACACACACACACACACATTATGAATATTTGTTTATAATGAACTCACTAATTAATGACGATATAATGAAAAATTAATATATTTTATACATTTCGTAACATAATATGCAAATATTATTAATCTGCTTCACTTATAGTTTATGTGTATATAATTCATTATATGTACAATTAAGTGAAAATCAATCAATGAAATGTTAAACATAAGCGAGTGAAAAACGTCATATTTAGTCCGTCATATCAAGACGGATCTTCGTGCCTAATTATTTTTTGTGAATTTGTACAATTTCCAGTTCAAGTAAACTGTGCGTCGATTATTTAGTGGTAAAAAACACACAGTCCTATAAACTGAAACTAGAGTAATACATAAATTAAATTAATAAACAATTTAATTATTGACGCTAATAAGCATCCGTTAAAACACTGTAAATAATTTATTGCAAATAAATATTATCTCCACCAGGATTTGATATGCCTCAGTAATAGAATATTGATAAGATGTCCGCATGGAATTTGGGAGATCCAGATTCGAATTTCGGTTCAGGTAATATTTTTCATAATCGTAATAAATTATTTACAGTGTTTTAATAGATTATTAACATCAATGATGTTTAATCGCTTGTCATTTAATTTGTGATATTATACTATTCCAGTTTCAGTTTATGACTGTGTTTCAAGACCGCAATAATCTGGCGTACAACTTTGATTGAACCGGAACTTGTATAAATTCACAAAAAATATTATTAGACGGAGATTCGTTTTAACGTTTTCTATTTATTTGTTATTATATGTAATTTACATATTTCATTATTTTGTTGTACATAAACCCATATTTATATCAATAAAGAACAAAATAATGCCAATGAGAACCGACACAGTTGAACGTATTTTTTGTTGTTTGATAGCTTCAGACATTAATCTTTTATTGAATACTTGTTTTTCATCTAAAATTTTGACATTGTTCCAATCAAATTCATGATCGTACTCAATTCTATGTTCTGTGATCACTGAGTGTTGTATGTATGGTATTCCTGTTTATATGATTATGATGTTCATTAATGCGCGTTTGTAATAACCGTTTTGTTTGGCCTATATAAGACGCATCACAATTCTGATAATTAATTTTGTAGACAATACTATAGAATGCAATAGTGAGAGAGAGAAGGTAATTTATTCTTTTGTGCTCTTATAAAGGAACTTAATTTATTAAATCCTATATGTAGGCCAAATGTACTGCTTGATGGTTTTTAAAATATCTTTTGAATTTCTCCGATATTGAAGACACATGGGGAACACTAAAAAACGTAATCAAATTGTTAGGACTTTCAATTTAATCTTTGGAGCCTTTTTTAATTTTAATTGTTCCACATTTGTATACATATATTTAACTTTTACTTTTACTTTTATTCAATGAGTCAAAAATAATCTAATCTAATTTAATCTGATATTGCTGGAAATCTTTTAGCAGGTGTGGGAGAAAGAAATCAGTAGCAACGTTTTAATCGATATATTTTGATAGTAATATATCTTTCGCAAGTATTATCATTACTTCAAAGATAATTTATATTATACTATATCTATATTGATGTCTTGCTTGTGAGACAAATGTATAATATTTTTTAAATTTAATTGGCATAACTTTTTGCTAATAATTTTAATTGTTTTCTATCAATTTTTCCAGTAGTGAGACGCGGAAGTTTGTCCACAAATTTGATTCCTCCTATAAGCTTACAATAGTCTGGTAAATTGTTAGCTACTACATCATGCAATTCTTTCTCTGTTACCTGAAAAATAAATCAACATTTTCTTGATCTTTTTACATTTTTTCGAAATTAAAATATTGGGTTCATACGCGTACGGTATGATAAACTAACAGACTTAATAAAATAAAAAATAAAGGGTTTTAATCATAAATAGTAATGTTATGTTTTTATCATATATAATTATTTTTAAAAAACTTGTTGGAAAGGTTTTTATATATTTTCTGAAAGAAACTTAATAATTTTTTAAAATAAACCATGCAATTGTAATTTACCTCTTTTCCGATTACTTTTTGAATAAATGCCATTGGGTGTTCTATATCCGTTTCATGTGGTACTGGAACCACTGCGGCATTGAGAACTGAAGGATGAATTTTGAGAATACCTTCTATCTCCGCGGGTGACAGCTTAATGCTTCTGTAGTTAATAAAATCCGAAAATCTACTAACGAAATAAATTTCTCCTTCCTCATCGTAGTACATTATGTCTTTTGTATGCAGCCAACCTATGTGCACCAATAAGATATGTTTTACTCAGATTTATTTTGGATTTATACCTATGTATAAAATTACTTTCTTTAATATTTTTTCACTCATCTCATTATAACAAAGAAAAATATATTCTTTTAGAGAGAAAGAAGAGAGAGTAAAAGACTTATAAATATAAGAATAATTGGCATGTAAAAAATATTTTCAATTTTTACCTATTACAGTAAAAACGCGATCGTTTAAAATAAGAAAATAATCTTTATAGACTAAATATTAAAAGATATCGTTATAATATAGTAAATGTTATCTTATTATTGTAACACTAACCATTTGAATCGATGACATTTTTAGTTTCTTCTGGATTTTTGTGATAACCATTCATTATAAATTCCGATTTTATACAAAGTTCACCAGTCTTGTTAGGTCCTAAAGCTTGGCCAGTTTGTTCATCCACTACTTTTATTTTTAATCCTTTGGTCACAAAGCCGCAAGAACCTAGCTTACTATTTTTTGCTTGGCTTACACATAATCCTCCGGCATCAGTCAAGCCTGAAGAAATACTTTCAGATAATTAACAATTTTTTGGAAGGAAAGATGTTTGACGTAATAATATTTTATTTTTGTTAGAATACTTCTTTTGTAAAAACAAATTTAAAATATTTTTGATTTTATAGCAGTATTTAATTTATAATATTAATTCGTGATACTTGTTCGATATTTTTTTTAAATATCACAGCATTTTGATTACCGAATAATCTCTCAGCTGACTTAATAATTTGATTCTTACCGTAACAATTTAATATTTGGGTATGTGGCATCATTTTTGCGACAGCTTCATGTATTTTTTTTAGAAATGGCCCACCGGTAATGACGAGCTTTTTCAGAGACGGCATAGGATATTTTTGTAAAATATTATATTTGAATAAAACGTATGGAAACGAAATATCAGTTCCAAGCCATGTTACCTGAGAAATAGTTGAAAAATTATAGTTATTAAAACTTTTATTCAATAACAGTAACAAATTAATTTTTAATATGAATAAACACAAAAGGAAGTAAATTAGTTTTAAAATTTAGGGACACACGAAAAAATAAATTAAAAACAATATTAAAAAAAAAAGCAAAAAATTGGAAAAAGTTTTCAATAGAATTTATATATTAAACACACTTTAAAGAATTAAATTTATATATTAGACTTTATAAATAATAAAAAAATATTCCGTGATTATTATACTGTATACATGTTAACAAAAGATTGAAAAAATGCATAGGAATACTTTTTAATGAGTGCATGTTTAAAAATTGATAAGCATAAACAACATAGAATTTTTTAAATTGGAGCGAATTCAGTTTTGCGAAATTATATTAATTGCATGTTTAAAAAAATTGAATTATTCCATGTTTTGAACTGCTACATTTATTTTTCAAATTTACCTCATAATCCTGAATAATTTTACATATTTCGGTTTCATCCTTGAAAGCTACTTCTGCTGAAGTAATGATCCATTTCGCGTTTGACATAACCAGTTCGAACATCAGACTTAATCCGTAGTGCCATCGTATCGTAGGTATTGATAATATCACCTCGTTGATTGTATGAACCTCTTCAATGGGAGTAATACTGTTGTAAAGGGACAAATAAGATAGTTCAACTCCTTTTGGCATACCCGTTGTACCGGAAGAAGCACAGATCATCGCTATGTCATGTAGGTTATCGACTATAGTACAACGGAACTCATCGATCTCTGACGGATTAACTTGATCTTGAAGAATATCTGTCAAAGACACGAATCCTGTTAAACTGCCAATAACTATGACTTCAACTTCTAGATTTGCTTCTTTTGCTGCTTCCACCAGATTCGCAACGGAATCTGTGTCCACGAAAATCAATTTCGGGGATGTTAACGATAGACAGTATCGCGCGGATGCTAGAAAGAAATTTATATATATTTTTAGTTATCTGATGGTTGATTTTCCAAAAATCAATTCAACAATTGCATTTTCTAATAAGAACAGTAAATATTTTGCATTTTTATAGCTGTGTTAAAGATTTAGCTTGCCGATAATATTACAAATAAGTTTACAAAATTTTGCTAAAGCACATCAAGACTTTCTACACTCAGAAAAAAAGTTTTATTGATATGCGACCAACCTCAACCTTTTTGTTGTACAAAACTTTTTTCTGAGTATAATTTTCGATGTTGAGCCCGAATCTGCTATTGAATTATTTCTATATCAGGATTAGTTTATAAAAAAAGAATTTTTTTAAATATATAGTGAAGTTTTATTGAAATTAGGAAACAACTCAGAAGTGTTGATTAATTAATTTTTTTTTATGTGACTTTAGATTAATTACATGTATTAAGACTATGGCACGAGACTTAGAGCAATAAGACGTACATTTTAGATTGCTACTGCTTATGCGTCATTGTTACATTCTCTATACTATAATTGGCCGATTCGTTTACTGTTAATATTCTACTGCCTTACGTTTTTCTGTATGCTATGGGCTTTAGAATCCAACAGTAATCGCCTAGCACGTAGCAGTTTTCGTGCCGATATACACCTCTGATAACATTTCTTTTCAGTTATGAGAAGTATTTCTTATTTATCATCAAATCATATAGTGAAACGTTCGCCTTTCTTATCATTTGTTGTACCTAAATTATTTGAAAAGATTTACTTATCTTAAAAATGATACGCTATACCTTAAAAATTTGATCTGGAATTTTACTAATTCCAATGACGCATTCTCACTCAGAGTCTTAAAAATTGTTACTTTTGCATTAAAAATTTCAAACTATTTGTAAACTAGTGTAATTAGAATGGCAAATGTAATTCATATTAGGACTGTTACTTTTTATAACTTTGAAGATTTAAATTTTTTTGAAGCATCGAATCTTTGAAGAATTTCAAACTTTCAAAATTTAAAGTACTTTCGAAGTTTCGAAAAATTATATATTTGGAAAAAAATATTCGTAATATATATTCGTAAACATTTTTGTATATTTTTTAAAATAAATATATTTGTTACTGTTAACTATATTAAATTAATAATTGTACAATTATAATTCTTCGAATATTTTAATGCCGAAGTTTCGAAGTTTGAATATCGAAACAAATCACCAGCCCTAATTTACATAAAATTACATACTTTTTGATACTTTTTCATCCCATGGACATATTACTGCGGCAACGTATAAACTTGCGAATACTGGTACGTAAGTGTCGATGTGATTATCAGTCCATATGCCAACCTTATCACCTTTTTGGATGCCATGCTTTCTTAACCACAGAGCACATTTAATACTTTGTTCTTTCATTTCCGCGTAGGTACTCTGTTTTCCCGAAGCAATTTCTATCTAAACATTTCACAAAATTTAAAATGTAGATCAATTTTTAGACACCTACATAAATTTTTTATTAGATCTATTTTATATTTGACATTACATTATTTATAAAACGTTCTTTTTTTTTAATTTGTTTTAAATGCTTAAACGTTATCGAGTATTGTATAAACAGTATCTTCAATTGTTTTTTAATATGAGAAATTAGAAAAGAATCTTTCCTTTTTTTTTATTACCTCGTCATTTCTAAATTCACTTGATTTTACCGAACTAATTGAAGCTTATAGAACTACGTGCGCAATGAAATTTAATCAATCATATAAGATTTTCATGTGACGATATACTTGTCCCACAAAATCCGGTTTACTCCTCAGTCTATCGAGGACCAATTCTCCGATGTTCGTGCATTTCGGATGAGTTTGCTCGGCGCCAATCAATATGTTATCCTCAATTCTGAACGACGGTATGTACTGGAGAAAAGCGGGGATACATCGTGACAATGATTTTATCGAGGCAATTCTATTTTGATTATTTATTTTTCAATAACGCATTCTTACCTGTTTATTGGCTTTTTCGTTGCTCATCGTCATGTCTGCAAAAATATCTCGACAGCTGTAATCACATTGACAGTCACGTAGTATCGACGACAGAATACTTTTGTATCAGACTTTATCAATATTCCACCACCATTTTTAACATTCAATTGAATCTGCAATCGAATTCTTGGTCAATCGTGATACGAAACCAGCTATATAGGTAGTATGTTTATATCTATTTCAACACGACTAAAAAAAAAAAATCACGATAACTGTAAGAAATTTACATTTTTCGACAATAATTTTAACTCTCTATGAGCCCGTATAACTTTCAAGTCACATACTAATATATCGATATTTTATTAATTTATTTAATTTTTTACCACATGGCGTATATATATCTTGTTATATAATAACGAATAATATTTTTGGTAGCGGTTATCAAAACTATGAGATATCAAAGTAAATGCTTTTAAAAGTTTTTTGCTGAATGCATTGTTAATTTGTATTTATATGTTGATATTTGTTGATTTCACGTTACATAAATTTTTTTCATGAAAAAAATTCGGCCCATAGAGGGTTAAAAAGAAATAATAAGAATACAGTATGTATTTATAAAGGGAATCCATATAAAGTTTACACAAAATATCCTATTTATAATCTAAATCGACATTTAAAGATAAAATGACAACGCATTGTTATATGTATAAATAAAATTAATACGGAAAATATTTTATATCATCTTAATATACATATAGAAAATATATCATCTTAAAAATAAACGAAAATAAAAAATTGTATTGTTTGGATGCTCACAAAATTTTCGAGAAATTTAGCTTCTAAAATCAGGAATATACGTGAAGCTCGTTTTATGTTAGAACAGAACGTATTCATTGTATAAAATTGCTAATTAACGTTTATTTTCAACAAATAAGGTTTTTTTTAATAAAAAAAGTTTCCTTATACGAATACTTTTTGCACTCGTATATTATTATATTGCCATAATACATTTTTTATGTTAAACAAAACTTCATAATCTTTTCAAGAACTTGTGAGGAAAAGTTTTTAAATGTATGCAATAAATAAAGTAAATAAAATATTTTCGAACTGTAAAATTTTAGAAAACATCATATGAGAATGTATTACATACAGGGATAAATAAATTCGCGCAAAAGGCAGAGATATTCATTTATGTGCTGTCTGATATTTGACGTGAAATCGTTTTATTTGTTTTACTTAAACTAAATTAAATTACTAGCACATACTAATGTCAATTATCTTTTATAATAAATATCTAACTTTGAAATGCGTCCGCAAGAGATATGAACGCGCCGAATTATTCGAAAATTTTTGTTCAGAGGCATAATAAATTTATGAGGTCGCGAGAATTCCCGTTCGGCGGTTTGCAAAATGCATTTGCACCGAACGATAAAAATACGCTTATCGAAACGGAGTTGCATTTGGGCGCTGCTGTATATATGCATCGCGCCGATTCGACGCCACGGTAATTTATCGCAGCCGTGTTCAACGGTTGTGAAATTTTTCTGCATTCGCGAGCTACTACTGTCCGTCCTAACAACGTTGACAAATGTCGTTTTGAATGCTTTGTAGAACCGCACGTGTCTATTCTCGAATGACATTTTATCCGATGTATAAATGTAAAAATATAAAATTTTCAAGTGCTTTTTCGTAATACTTGATAATTATAATACGCACTTATCTATCCGTGAAGCAAACTAAGCTATGAGAAAGATATTTAATTAGTTACTCGAAATAGTTGTAAATAATAATAGACTAACCACCTTCAATTTGGCACTTATGAGACACAGTAGATTTTTTATTGAATTTTGAAAATGGATAGATTCTGTAACATCTCTTAAAAAGGCTTAGTAATGTTGAAATTGTTTCGTATAAGGACATCATTATATTATTATATATTTATTCTCGTTTCTTAAATTTGTTTTTGTACTCTCTTTATTTAGAGAGTACTCAATTAGTAAAGTACGAATATATAAATGTTATTTTTAAAAAATGTCTTTCTTCTATCATTTTAAACATGTTGATCATACAATTGATATACATATATCACAATAAGATTTTATATTAGCTAGTACTTTTACTTGTCGCTTATATTTAATTGCTTATTTCATTGCTTTAACTTAAGACATATATTGTCTGTTTAAAAGTTTGCAAATTTTTTTTGTATGCTTGTGTACAACTAGAGCTATCTGTTGAAGTAATATAATATTGAGCACATTCAACAAATACAACATGAATGTTTTACTATCTGTGATTGAAGTAAATCCATATGATATTTAAAAGAATTTATCAGTAGCAACGAGCACTCACTCAACCGTTTGTTGAACGCACTTATTCTCTTTTATGAAATTTTAGTTTTAATCTGATAGTTATGTTTCTTTACATTACATTATGTATTTGCTGTGACGTCAGAGAAATAAAAATTTTTTACGCTCATAGTCAAATAAGATTTATACTTTTACTTTTATGCTTATATTTGTATGAATATATCTTTTAATGCATTATGTAACATTTGTATAGCATTATCATTGTAATTATTTTCTAAACGATATTATTTTTCTAAAAAATTTAAAAACTCCAAATTAATATCTTATTGATGATCCATGAAATTACATATGTTAATTATAGATTGGCAAATTGGATAACGATCAGAAATCTTATTTTTATCAAATGTTTTTGACATGGCACTATTTTTATGTATGGAACACGCCGACAAGTTATCTGTTTGCATAGATTTCCCCATCATTATCTCTTTCACATCTTATCTTAGTTTGTTTTCGTCATCGTCGGCATAGATTCGTGCGATGTGTATTGTTGAGATAATTCGGTGAAATTTCCACTGAGATCATAAAAAGTCGATTTCGCAAGAGTCTCCTATTTAGCTGGATGTGGATCTCTTCTTGATGGCACTGCCGTAAAATGTCATGTTTCTCGTACTCGTGACCACATCCTCCCTCAACTTCATTCTTATGTAGTTGACGTAGTTTCTTCTTCTTACTTTGCACAGTTGTAACGTTCCTTTCTTCTTCCCCCGAACGGTATATCCGGCGACAAGGAAACGGATAATTTTTAGACCAGATGTCATCTATACTACCATTCAAAAGTATTTGTTCATCCCGATTTTTGTGTATGTGTCTTTTTTATATTCCGTTTTAATTCTACTATTCTCTTTATATGTATACATAGAGAGAGAATACAAAACTTCGAATCATTAAATGTTATTATATATTAAATCTATAATATTTAGAAGATTAGGAAATGAAGAAGAATGAAGTTCACTCTTTTTCATTTAATTAATAAACAGAGAGGGTAAATACTCTTGAGCGGCTGTGTATTTACCGTTGCATGCATCAAATATTTCGATCACTCGACTAAACAATCGCATTATTTTACTATCAATATTTATCCTAACTAAATTAAATAGCGATGTTAAATGGAGATAAAAGCATGTGTTGCAATTCCTCATAATTTTACGATAGCAGTGTCGTTATTCAAAAATGTAGGTATAACATTTTCTAAATAATTTGAACAGTTCATTTTATTCTAGTATTTTATGACATTTTTGTGAACTTAGCATCTTATTTTCAAAATTTCAATATAAGTAAATAAATTCTGATTTTTCTCTAAAGAGTTTTAGATACATTTAAAAGAATTAGCGTATAGCAATTAAATATAAAAGTAGAAATTTATGGATATGTATGTATCTGTTTTATGGTTCCAATATGATTAAAATTAATTCTAATTGAAATAAAAAAATTATGTTTAATTCAATAGCATATAAAATTCGGGATATTTTAATTATTTATTGTATAAGAATGAAGATAAAAATGTTAATAAATATCCGGTGACACTCATCTTTATTAATTAATAATAAACAGATATTTTTTGTATAAACGAATATTGTGAAAGAGTATTTTGTGTAAATGAATACCTATTGCATAATTACGAGTATTGATATTATAATAGCAGTTTTATATTAATAAAATTGAATATTTTGCACATTGTTAAATATAATTTCATAAAAAAAATTAATAATAGTAATATCTCTACACGATTATTAAATTTGACAGTGAATCTTCCGCAAGCTGTTTCAATCTCTCTTAATAATTTTTTCGTATTCGATGTCTTGACGAATTTAACGTTCTCGCGAAGTCTGCAGAAATCCTCCCGATTTCCTTGCACCGGCTCCATCAATTCTTCGGCCGTCATTTGCAAACGATAAATTTATCTTAAAGAAGATCGACCATAGTGCAATTTCTTTGCGCGAAGTGTCACGTTCTTGCCGTAACCGCGGTACCTGTAATCGTTTTGCTCTTAATCACGAACGACCACCGTGCGACGTGAAGCTTATTTTACGGTTGTTTTAGTTCCGCGCGGGTCGCAATAACTTAATTAAATCCGACCTATTTAATCCGGCTGCGGTGTGCTGAATCACTTTGATTTTAAAGCTCGGCGATTACGCGAGAGAACGAAATTATCTCGGCGTGCGACTTTTTTAGCTTTGCGCGTTTACTTGCGAACACTTGGTTGAGTTTCCTTCAAGTAGAGAAAGCGTGGTTGGACTAAACACGTCGTAAAGCAAATATTAAAACTTCGTTGCAGTTTTGCGCACTTTACGTTTGAAGACGATTACTGAAAGTATAACCACAGAAATCGCCATTCTGCGTTCTTTGCGTGCATTTTTCTCTCGAATATTGCTGGAGAAGTTAAATGTGCTGATGTATATGTACCGTTAGTAAAGTCAACTATTGATACTCAGTCAACTATCGATACTATTGATACGACATTTTTTAAACATAATTTTTTATTATAATTAGAATCTTTTTCTAAACTACGAATTATAAAATTATTTCAACTTAATTATTCTTTTTATAGATTTTTATTTTGAGATGTGATAATAATTTTTTATGTTGTTTAATCGCATATTTAAATTAAATTAAATTATTTCAAATAATTTAATTTTATCTATGATCTTAAAATATATATATGTATTAGTCCAGCAATCATTTTAATCTCGACTATTTAATCTTACATGAATCTTATACACTGAAAAAAAAGTCTAGTTATAGCTACCAAATATTGAGTGAAATAGTTTCAACTAAATGTGGAGGTAATATAACTAAACATAAGTTTACTTTTACAAATATATAGTAAGTATTACCGTTGGTAATACTGTTCAGTAATATTTACTAAATATTTGTAAAAATGTTTAGTTATATTACCTCAACATTTAGTTGAAACTATTTTACTCAATATTTGATAGCTATAACTAGACTTTTTTTTCAGTGTATGATCTTATATCTTTATGAGTACAAAATTTTTATCATTTTTATCTTACACGTAACTTCGTTACATGGCTGTGAATTACTTTATTTATTATTGCAAATTTGATATTATGATAATTAAATTCATATATGTATATTTTAAAACGAGTACAAATTATTTAATGTGTTGGATCGATAATAATTTTGTAAATGCATTAATAAAGATCTTTAACCCACGTGTTTTTCAGCTATATTTATGCTTATATAAAAGCGCGCGATAGTAAATATAATTTCTCGACTTTTAATCGTGTCTAATATAAATTTTTGTATTGCTTGCATAATTATAATACAATGTAATTCTTTAAGTATTTATTATGCAATTGAAAATTATATCTGCTGTATATTTACACTGCCACTTCTCATTGCGAATAAGAAACTTTACTTTGATTTTATTTCTTTCATCCCCTTACACTAGAAGCAATCAGAGTCAACATATTTTATAGTATTGCGCACGGAGCTTCTCTTGATTCGCTCGAATTTCTCTTTTTAATGCATATACCGAACTACATCGTGGTACTCAGACGTACGTAATAGGGACGACAAAACATGAATGTCCTGCGACAGGAAAATCCGCTCTCAACAATGACAAGCGAAATAGATGAGCAGGACGTTTGGAAAAATCTCTTGAGTTTTATTCTAACGTTTCCACGAAGATTTCCGTTACTTCGAACTGTAAGAACGTAACGATATTTTATCTGGCGTTTCCTACACATTTTATGATGATCATTTGTGTTTTGCAATAATGAGTAATAAAAACGAGTATCAAAAGTTATTTTTTTAATTCCACTGTATTTGACATTCGCATTTGATAATAGTGTTTTGTTTATCATGTATATATGTGATGTGGCAATAAAATTTGTAATGTTATGTGACAAAACAAACATCACTTAATTAGTATACAAATGACCTTTCATCCTTCAACGTAATCATTCCTAGAGACAATACACTTCTGACAATGTTCATATAATTTCCGGAAACAAAATTTTCCTGAAAAAAAATTTCCTGCGAAAAGCCATCATTGATGTAGATTACTTTGAAAGACAATAAGATTATTTGTATATTAATTAAGTGATGTTTATTTTCACATAACATTCACCAAATTTTTTGCCATACTACGTACAATACCTATATATGCACCAATAATAGTAATCGATTTATGTAGATATATCCTTATAGGAAATTGTTTATTTCTATTGAAATCGTTTATCTGATATCGCTTTATTAATTGGTTTATTATAAATCTGCATATAGCGATACATATCCTAATGTATCATGACACTATCATAATATCATATTTTATCGATAATCACCTAACAAATATAAATGAGCCACGAGTATGCGATAAAACGATACTCTGCTCTATAAATTTGATAAAGGGTAATTCTATATATCACTGGCTATATATCAAATTAATTTAATAAAAGTATAACATGAAGAGATTTGTGAAGAGATTTTTTTACGTCATTTTGTAATACATTATATAATATTGTGTTACATATTATAAGAAATTATTACAGAAACACTAGACATTTTTAAAGCATTGAAATTGATTTAAAAACAATAACTACCATAATACATATATATTCTAAATTTAACAACAACATGACAATAATTACAATATCATTTTAATTCGTCGAGTAATTCTTCGCGATTTGTTTGAGTTCCTTCTTAGCGATTTTCCCCGTGGCCGTACGAGGAAGCCTCTGCATGAATTTAACTCCCGCATGCAACCTGCAGTACCACGGCATGTTCTGCTCAACCAAGTTGGTTATGTCGAGCTCCGTCGCCTGAAATTTACGTGAGGAATTGTAATGTAACGTATGTAGGGCAAGACGGTGAAACTTAGGGTCTGCAGTAAATTACGCTGCGCGTACAAAAGCAAGTCAATTCATTTTTTTAGTAGAATGTAAATAAACATGAAAAAATTGTATAGCATAATTTTATATTAATTTCTTAGAAAACAAAAACAGATCAATATGTGAATTACTTTGGATATTATATAAAATGTTCAGTAACTTTACAGAGAATTTAAAACGAAAGATACACTTTTTAAAAAATATGATGTTAAATTTATTACTCTGCTCATAAAATGTGGTATTTAATATTATTTCACTAATAGTTCAATGTAGAAAAATTTAGGCGGATGGAAATAGTTTTTAATATTAGTTGGAAAAAAGGTATTGTTTTTAGCAGTCCAAAAATTATACATGATAAACAAATTAAGAATAAATAAGATAGAAATAATTGACAAATGTTTAAATAGGCATTGCGAATGTTTGTTAGAGTGATTACCTCTTTCCCGGGTACTTTCGCGATAAAAGCCATGGCATGTTCCTCCTCGACATCATGTGGCACCGCCATTACGGCGACTTCGAGGACTGCGGGATGTTGCTGAATCAAAACTTCGATTTCTGCGGGCGATATCTTGATAGCTCTGTAGTTTATGAATTCCGATATTCTGTCGACGAGGAAGATTTCGCCATCGTCATCATAGTATCCAAGATCGCCAGTATGCAACCATCCTAAAATGCGCCATATTGATCATATTGAGGTTTCATAATTCTTTATAACATGAGAATTACCATAAATTCTAATATTAAAATCAATTATTAAAACAATGTTTATAAAATTGTATTAATAATTGAAATAATGGCATCATTAATAATTATAACATTCATTTCTACAGTCTTAAAAAATATGCTACAAAGTATTTGTCAGTTGTTACAAATCTTTTTATTATATTCTATTAATTGAAATCTTTATGTCTGCTCTAAACAACGGCAAATGTCGAAACATTTCATATATTTACCGTCCGAATCGATAGCGTTCTTTGTGGCCTCAGGGTTGTTGTAGTATCCATTCATCATGTACGACGATTTGGCCCATATTTCTCCGGTTTTATTGACCCCCAAGACCTTTCCCGTGTCAGGATCGACTACTTTCAACCGTCCTGTTTCGCACACAAATCCGCAACTACCTGGTTTACTGTGTTTCGTTTGACGGGCACATAATCCACCGTAATCTGTCATTCCTATATAATACGGGCAGTTTAAAAATCGGTTTTCTTCACATCGCATTTCAATTATGTATGTATTTTAAATTGAAACATTAGCTAGCATTATATAACTAATATAGTTAATCTTATACAACATTAATATAATTAACTTGTATAACTAATTATTATCAATGGGATAACAAGACTGCAATCACGATTTTATCATTTCAATAAATTGGACCTACCGTAGCTCAATATGACATTGGTATGCGGCAAAAGTTTCATCAGACTCTGCTGCAGCTCTCCCCGGAAACGCGCGCCGCCAAACAAAAGGATTTTCAATGTTGGTAGTCGGTACTTGCTTAATATGCCGAACTTTACCAGTCGAATAGGGAAGCAGGAATCGCATCTAAACCAGGATACCTGAATGCAAAACGACGCCGTTAAACTCGAACACTCCCGCGGTATTACCTGCGCGAAGCAATAAATCACGCGGTACAACTATCACGCCCGTTTGTAGATGCGCCTCAATTCAAGCCCGTGTTATCCTTTAGCAAATTCGCTGCGCGACATAAATTAACATAAATTAACGCAAACGCGCGAGCGTAATATTGTATAAAATACTTCCGTTGCAGAATTCCGAAATGAAAATAATAACGTGGATGCTACGTGATGAAAAATGCATGGTAAATCAGGTGATATCGCCAAATATTAAATTTTATCTCCATCGCATAAACTCGTAATTAATTTCTATATCGAGCTGCGCACGTCATTAAAAATGAATGCTCTATAAAGAGTTTTAAATAACCGGTGCCATGCTATTGAACTATCGTTCTCTAAAAATACGCATAAAATTGTTGCTATCACGAATGTATATCTGACGATTATTTATTAATTTATTATTATTATTGGTGCGTGTTAGAGAGACGATATTCCGATTTGTTATTAATATAACTAATTAAGCGATATATGTATGTCTGCTAATCTATCTTGCCACTCGCCTTATATTTTTCGATGAAACGACATATCTTCTCAATTTTATCGCAATCTGGGATTATGACCCTTTTTGAGCAATCAAGAATAGCCTTGATAATGATGAATAGACCACAGTACCACCGCATGGAAGGCGTCCACATAGACACGTGTCCTTGGAGGTCGTGAATCTTGACACAAGCCATGTAATTGATCATGGACGCGTGGCTGATCTCGGTAGCTTTCGGAAGACCGCTGGTACCGGACGAGCAAACGATTGTGGCGACATGATCAGGGCTGGACAATTCTACACACTCGAATTCGTTGATCCCCGTGTCGTCCTGAGAATGTAAAATGCTCGTCAGAGACGCGTCTTCAAATCCTGCCAGTTCACCGAACACCACCAGCTTGGTGTTTAAATTGTTTTCCTTGATAACTTGCTCTAGACATTTTGCCGACTCGGCGTTCACGAACACTATTTTTGGCCTCGTCAACATGAGGAAGTAACGTGCGGTCGCTGAAACGAAGGAAATATTCGCAAATATTTCCCGTATATGAAAAACTCAACGACGGTGCTTATCTTCTCTCTAAATCTGAATTAGTGGATAATCACTGATATCAGTGCCAAGTATGCCACTGGTAATCAGTGAATTAAATGTGAGATTCCTAATCTAGCTCATCTTTATTATATGACCTAACCTTGTTTTAGTGCTTAAATTCAATGATATTGGAAGATTGAAATCAACTTGCAAATATCAGTATTTTAATTATATAATGCTCAAACATTCTTCCTTTTTTAGTTGAACTTCACTGATTATCAGTGCCAAATATGCCACTGCATGGGTAATTAGTGACTATTCACTGATTTAGATTTAGAGAGTTGATTGTTATAATTATATATTTACGCGAAGTAATTGCAACGACGTTTCGGATTCGCAACAAAGACAAAAGCCGAAAAACGCTACTACTTTGCGACAAATACTTTTTCCATTATGCTTTTTTTTATTGATTAAAAAAGTTGCAAAAAAAATAGAAAACAGAATGCGACACAGCTCTCAGTGAACGGAAATCCGATTTCGTTCGGTGGTTTAATGCTCGACGCGAAAAAAAAAACGAGAACAAGCTGGAGAAGCGGGAGGATAAGTAACGTACTTGGGGAAAGTTCGTTGTCCCAGGGATTGCTAATGGCGTCGATGTAGAGTGCCGCTAGCAATGGTACGTATGACTCCAAGTGATTGTGAGTGCAAATGCCGATTATGTCGCCCGGCTGAACAGCTTGCTCTCTTAGCCACAGCGCGCACTTCACACTTTTCTCCGTCATTTCTGCAAAAGTGGTCTCCGTGCCAGTAACCGCCTCCACCTACGGGATTATACGATCGAACGAGCGAGAATTAAATGGCGAATCATGGTGACATTTATGTTAAAATCGATTCGATGATGTCTCTATCGACATCCTCGAAGTCGACTGTGTCTACTTACTTGAGCGACGAACTCCGGTCTACTTCGCATCTTCTCCAATACCAACGCACCGACGTTTGTGCATTCCCTGTAAATCGGTACCTCCTTACCGATCAAAATATCGTTCTCTATCCTGAACACCATACTCTTCTGAAAATTGTGTGACGAATGCATAAGTCGACTAGTAGAAATTGATAATTTAAGCACCGCAGATAATAAATTGCAAATATAAATGAATGTAGATATGCTAAACTTGATTCGCTTCTGTGTTATTTTAATGGCAATAATAGGCTTCGATAAATATGCTTTAATTAATGTCTAAAAAATTTCTAAATGCATCTTAAATTTAAATTTAATACGAACAAATACCAAATCACTTAAAAGCAAGTAACATTTATTACAACTGTATGTATGTACCTCGTCAAATATATCCTTATTTTCATTAGTTCCAAGGTTTACCATCGTTGAAATTTATTTAATACACGTGACAAATCAATAACGTAAAGCTTGAGGTAAATCCGATTAAGCCATTTATTTTCACTTTGATCGTTTCGATATCCAGCGAGCTACTGAGATGATTGCAATGATTCATTCAATTATGAGTTACGATAACATATCAATGAGACGTGTAAAACGTATAATCAGAAAATCCAATTCCTACATGTAGATAGAAAGAGATAAATGGCCCCGCGAAAGATGAATTTTACACCTGTCATGAGTTTTATATCTATGGGGTCACCTGTTTATGTACTGTTAATATTATTAAGTAATATAAAAAAGTTCAGGCTCTAAATATAAATTATACGTATATAAAAATATCAACGATTTTACCATCCATTGGATAATTCGTCACAATAGTTTTAATTATTTGACTATTCATTTCACCCCAATTTTCCGATGGTTTTTATTACTAAAATTTAAATACAATTTCTCGTATACAACGGTAATCTTATGAGATATTATTTTATTTTATATACTGAATTTTATTTTATATATATATATAGATTTATTTTATATATAGATTCATTTTATATACTGAAGATAACCTAAAATACGAAATTGTTTATTTATATTCTTATTATGTTATTTGATAAAAAATTTATATAGGTGTACAAACATATTGATAAATATTCAATGTCAGTATTTGAAATTTTTATAAGCTTATAATTGATATTATTAAGGTGAAAAACTGCAGACGAATTCTTCGTTTGTATTGCGAAACAACGCGGTCGTGATGGCCACTAGGAAAAGACAAATATTTGTATGCAAACTCAAATACGCAAGTGTCATCTTCAAATGTTTACTCTCTTTATACTGAATTTGGATCTTTTAATAAGTTAGATTTAATGTAACTAGTTTTATTTTTTCTAAAATTCCTAGAAAAAATTCTGTATTAAAAAAAATATCTTTATAATAAAACACAAATAAACAATATAAGATAAAAATTCATTAAAGGATTGTTATTAATTTGCGAACTTAAAACTTACGAATTTAAATTTCGTTATATATATATTTGTTTTACTTTATAATACAAATATTTTTTAAAACATTTCAAGAATATATTTATCTCTTAAATATATAATTTCTCATTTAATTGTAAAATTATTACAAAAATTAAAATTTATGTTTAATTAATCGAAATGTTGATAAGAATTAGATCAATATATTACAAGGCAAAAATGAGAGAGAGAGAGAGAGAGAGAGAGAGAGAGAGAGAGAGAGAGAGAGAGAGAGAGATCAGCTTTAAAATATATTTAATATAGCTTTAAATAATTACGTATCGTCCACTTCTGTTTTCTTCCACTCATTAGTTTAGCGTAGTTTATTATTGCATTGAACGACATTGGAGGACTAATTGGATGGCGCTAGTTGTCAGTTCCACTAAGTTCTAACCAATTTATGAATGCGGCAGCGTGACACGAGAGTGCACTATTCGGTCACCGACTCAAGGTGGTGAGAATGTTCCTGTTTCTCGAACTTTCCTTTGGTATCGACGATCTCTCGTTCTCACTTGATCTTATCATTATCCTTATGCTGGTTCTCGTCCATTTATCCATGGCATTATTGTTAATCTTTAACTATTCCCACAATTTCGAGACAGTTGTTGAAAATATTTTTCCATATATATTTAAAGATATCAGGAGACACGGTAGTATCTCGACGCTAATTATTATATACATCCCGTTCAGAACATAATAAAATTACAATTTATGCCAATCATGCGATAGAGATATGAATTTTGTTATCTTAATATGAATATGTTTATCAAACGAAAGATCAGCTCTTATCACTTGATTGTATTAGCTAGATTTTTATTTAGTAAACAAACAACTAAATAAAATAGTTGATGGCTACAATTTTTGTTTGATACGAATATTGCGAATCACTCCGCTCGATCATAAAAGTAATCAAAATTTTGCAATAGTTGGTCTCAGCAGAGTTGCTACAAAACTGGAAATTAGGAAAATTAGAGAATTGTTAAGAATATTAAATACGGGAAGTCAGGGAAATCAGGAAAAGTCGGGCAATTTTGCAAAATTTTCTGGAAAATAAAAATCCTTAGCTTTAAAGAAATTATATATACATATATGTATATACATATACTAATACGACATTATACAATAATAATGATATTTTGCAAATAATTTCTCTATGTCGTAAAATTAATCAAAATTTTGTAATATTTTTAATATTATAAAATATTGAGTTGATTGCAATCTTTTAAATGATTTAAACAGGAAATTATTAAAATTCATCATTGTAATTGTGTTCGATATAATTTTTATTACCTATGATGAATAGTATTTTTAATAAAATATTATATTGCATATTCACTAACAGTCATTTAATTATTCAAATCCATTCTCCGTACTGTTTCATTTAGATATCGGAAAGTGTTTCAGAGATAAACTATTTATACATATTTTAACGCAAAACGGTATTTACAAGTATAAGCTGTGTGTATTATATTTAAGTTATGCACAAGCTAGTGCTACCGCCTACAACTCTAAACAACTTTAAAAGCACGCTGTATTAAATAATTCAACTGTTTGAAAGGAACAAAAACGCTTATATTAATTAATTAAAATCAACATTCTAACTACACAAGTGTGCAATAAAATTTAATAATGTAATCTATCTAATATTAATTTTTTTATGATTAAATATTATAAAACACTTATCAACTTTGTCAATTTATATTATTTATGACGCAGTAAGATTGTCAATAATCAATAAATATATTTATACTATAAATATATTTAATTTACATACGTAGTATATTTTCCGACACACGCAAATTAACTTACAGGTAGAAGTCAATGTATGTAATAATTTATCTGTAATTCTGATATACCTACATTGTGTTTGCGTAAAATACATTGCTTGATTCGCCATAAGTATGTCTGTGTCATGATAACTATGCAGTATGCACCCAGAGAAAAGAACGCTTCGATTTAAAGAAAAAAATTTCTCTGATTTGTGAAAAAATTTCTTTTGATTTAAAAATTATTTTTTTTAATCAAATAAAATTTATTTTTAAATCAAAGAAATTTTTTTCTTTAACCGAAATTTCTTTAAATCGAAGCATCCTTTTCTCTGGATGTGCGATTATAAAACAATATAATCGCATTTAATAATTTTTCCAAGCATTTTCAAAATGTTCTCCGCGGAAGGGTAAAAGCTTCAACTCTTCAATATTGAAGAAGAACAGACATAGAGAACGGCGCGAATTTATTGCGTTCACTGAAAACTTTGATAATATTGATTTCACTTTCAATAATCATTCGAGCTTTTATATGCCATGTAATTCAAATCGGTAGTAAGAGTTTAACGAGCAGCAAAGAAGTTTTTGGCGGAACCATCGTTTAATGAAGGTCACCGACTCATTTCTGGCTTCTGCACACCACTCATACACTGTAAAAAAATATCTATGTGGATTTAAAGTGTTAAATAGTGATGCGGTGTTTATATAATTCTCACTGTATTGTTAATATTAACACCAATATAGTGTGGGTTTATAATCTTCGATGGTTATGTTAACACCATCATGGTATGGATTTAAAACCTATGTGTTAAATTCACTTATTATTGTTAATTAACACCAACACAGTGAGAATTATATGTATATGTCACAATCAAAGTGTTAACCTACAATTAATAAATGTATATACATTTATTGTAGTCTACTCTACTCAGTGTATACCTACATTTACTAAGTTAACACTTTGATTGTAACATATATAGACATCGTATGGTGTTAAATCTCTACACCGATATTTTTTAGAATGTACATTTAAGATTTGAAAAGCATGTTCTTATTAAATTGTACTTGTAAGCGCATACTTATAAAATTTCTGAAGGTTAATCAAAAACTTGATGACACAGCGCTGCTCAAGTCTGCATATTTAAATTTCCTTCATGTTTGCCGCCATTATTATATAATCATAGTGCGTCTCGAACTGCTCCCATTCTGCAGTAGAGGAAACTTCTCTACTGCTACGAGATACGAAAATTCGGTACTCGGTCGTTTCTTGGAGAAATCAAAAATTCCGGGCAGAATTATCCATGCATGTACAGCCTATATTACTTACCCTTACACAAATGTAAACTCTCTTACACAAATGTTACTCTCTTACTGTACTTCATAAATTAATAAATTAACATGTTAGGCGTTAAAATTTTATACTAAAAAAATCTGTTAGAGCATGCTCTTTCCTTTATTTTTTGTCGTTTTATTGCCTATAATCGTACTGCAGCTATACTGAAACAAGAAACTATAAAGCAATGCTGGTTACATTAGCGGTATCTAAAATTTAATCGCGATAAATTTAAGCGATGTATATTAAAACGCACTCAAGACATGTATAATAGTATTATACGATGATACGTATCGTAAAAGTAGAGAGACTTTTATATTCACTATCTTTAAATTTTGACCCTTGAAAATAAGTCGCTTGATTTGAATCATTTTCAAGTGGCGCAAGAAGCAGCAAAGCAAACTATCGACACAGGTTCAAATTGAATTTGAGTATTGGATAGTATATGTGGTGTGACATGAAAGCAGCGGGGAGGAATGGATTCGCGCAAGGCATCTGTCCGACTATCGGTGTTTCCCGAAGAAGTCCTCGGGGGAAATCTAGGATTTCCCTTCGATCAGATGCGTTTCCACCCAATAGTTGACCCGCCTTAGGACTACTGCTTGCTGACGATCGTGGAATTGCTTCCGCGTCCCTTTCCTCTCCTCTTGTTATCGATACGCAGCCCCTTTCGGTACGCTTACGTGGTCCGTAATTATGCGTATCCCGCGGCCATCCAAGTTGATTCGTGTCCCTACCTAGAAACCCTGCGATAGGGCGGAATTCAATTCGAGGCTGTTAATCGTCGCGACACGCTTCGTTCGACACAAGCATGTTCGGATGTTTACACGACAACGCGACGCGCGCAACGACAGCTAATTAGACGAGGATGTACTTAGGCTCTGCCCTGTTAATTCGATAATT